CATCTGAGATGTAGATGAGTTTGTTTCTTGATCAGATTTGGAGAAATGTAGCATTGCATCAGTGTCTCAGCAATGGATGCTCTGCAGTGAATGGGTGCCGTCAGAATGAGAGTCCAAACAGCTGATAAAAACATCACAATAATCCACAAGTAATCCACAGCACTCCAGTCCATCAGTTAACATCTGGAGAAGACAAAAGCTGAAACAAATCCAGCATTAAAATGTTTTTAACTAAAAACCATTTAACCATAATCAGTGCTGGATAGTAACCAGTTACATGCAATCTAGATTAAGTAATCAGGTTCCAAAAATCAAGTACTTTTAATTGGATTATATTACATTTTAAAATGACTACAGTTACTTTTTTATTGATTACAGGATTACATATTCACATGCAGTTCCTTCACGAACCCCAGTTTTCGGACACTTTGACGTAATATAGTGTTTAATGCACTTCATGTTGTTAATAACAGCGAATGGAATGCATGTTCTTTCTCTTTATATTTTTAATATCAATATGGTACAAGATTATTCTATGGATTATGGACTCGATGTATTTTAGTTAAAAATACTTTAATTAGATTATATTACCATTTTAAAATGATTCAGTTAACTTTTTTATTGATTACAGGATTACATATTCACATGCAGTTCCTTCACGAACCCCAGTTTTCGGACACTTTGACGTAATATAGTGTTTAATGCACTTCATGTTGTTAATAACAGCGAATGGAATGCATGTTCTTTCTCTTTATATTTTTAATATCAATATGGTACAAGATTATTCTATGGATTATGGACTCGATGTATTTTAGTTAAAAATGTCTTAATGCTGGATTAGTTTCAGCTTTTGTCTTCTCCAGATGTTAACTGATGGACTGGAGTGCTGTGGATTACTTGTGGATTATTGTGATGTTTTTATCAGCTGTTTGGACTCTCATTCTGACGGCACCCATTCACTGCAGAGCATCCATTGCTGAGACACTGATGCAATGCTACATTTCTCCAAATCTGATGAAGAAACAAACTCAGCTACGTTTTGGATGGCCAGAGGGTGAGTACATTTTCAGCAAATCTTCATTTTTTGCATAAACTATTTGTCATTATTTTGAAGCTTTTGTCAAAATTCTACCTGGTAACAGACACATTTACACCAAAATACTGTAGAGTTTGATTGTGCAAACTGCCTGAAGAGATGGGAAAGCGTTGTTATCCTCACTGTGCATGTTTGTATTGTTATAATTATTTGCATTTGTCATGCAACAGACTTAAACACACTTGGTCCGTTTTGTATTTCAGTGCACAGAGCTGAAAGAAATCAGTGAACAATTCAAATGTTGCCCGTGCACCTCTGAGCTGAATTCACATACAGAACTCACTGAATTCTCGTGACTCCAGACTGAAGCCAGATTCGCCCCGTTGCCGGTATTGATTACCGTGGTATTTTTGCATGATCGGGGAGGTTTCCACACGGCTCTTTGTTTCCACAGCTGCAGCCCGTTGCTTTCTATCACATGTGAATGCTGTGCTGCTCTTCCCTGTGGCTCTACCCATGCTTCATACGGCACTGTGCTTACGGTTTGGTTATTAATGCTACAGTCTGGATAACCTGCCCAGAATACTATAATTTACATGCTTCTGAACAACCGAGGAAAAAGGTCAATTTCATGTTTTTAAGAGCTTATAAAAATTAGACTCTGGTAAATCTACTATAATATAATGAAATATTCTTATATATATTTATTAATATTTTTATATAACAATATATTTATTTTTATGTATGTGTATATTTTATTAAGTCACAATATTTAGCTTTTTTCCCCCCATTGAATGTCAATGGAGAAGGATGCATTCGGCCCCATATTTTAACTTAATAAAATACAAAATAGAAGTAATGGCCAATTTTGTGGTCCTGTTCTAAACCCTTTTTTAACGCTTTAAACATTTTAGTCATATTTCTGTTTATTTTTGATGTGTTTGGTCACTGAAAAAAAAGTAAGTTTCATACTTTTAAGAGCGTATAAACATTAGACTATGCGATAACTACTACAATATAATGAAATATTCTTATATATTTTTTATTTATATTTTTATAATAATATACATTTTTTTTTTACATAGAATTTTATTTTTATTAAGTCAAAATATATACTTTTTTTTTTTTTGAATGCATGTCAATAGAGAAGAATGCTTTTGACCTCATAATGGCCAATTTGGCACACCAACAGGATACATTTTTATTATTTTTCCCCCCGCTTTTTTCTGTTATTAACTTTATTTTAATTTTGTTGTGTCACTCAAAGTGTGAAACAGCTGAAAAAAGTCATACTTTTGAGCCTATGGAAATCAGACTATACTGTAGCTACTATATAACATTTGAAATATTCTTATATATATTTCTTTATATTTTATATAATAATATATTTATTTTTATATAGATTTGTAGTCAAAATATATAGCTATTTTCAGTGTCAGTATATAGAGAAGAATGCTTTTGACCTGATAATGGTCAATTTTGTGTCCCAACAGGATACATTTTCTTTTTTCTCCATTGTTAACTTTTGAATCATATTTATGTTTATTTTTAAACACTCCTGCTACAATTTTTGTACCGTTCGTCAAATTCGGGCCATATTTTGTTGCACAAAAATGGCCAAATTATTTTTGCTTTTGAAACCATTCATCAGTGATGCAACAAACAAATCTGGCCGTGAAGATGCTGTGATGCTTCTGCACATTAAGTCACTTTAAGACTAAAAAGCTACAACTTTAGCTACAACTTCAGAATCTGCTAAACCACAAGGAGGCGCTGCATTCAAACAGGAAGTGATACTGTTTGTGCCACAGATTCGTTTCCTGACCCACCTGAACAGCATCAGTGGTTCAAAACACATTTTTTGGATGAACCTTTCATAACAAGGGAATGGTTTAAAGGTGATCTGTGCTGCTTATGTGTTAAATATGTTTGTGAAGATGATTAAAACCTCCAGATTCCTGTTTGACAGATGCAGGATTGGCCTGGAAACCGCAGTGCATCAATCCACACGAATATACTGATGAGTGTGTGTGATCTGTGGGTTAACAGGGAAGGTTTCGGCGCAGGTGTGTGAAATAATGGACTCCACCAGAGCTCTTAAAGAGACGCTTCTGCAGGGTTTCATAAGGCTCGTGTGTGTCATCCACCAATGCAACCATATTAAATACTTCTTATGAAAGCACAACGATGCATTTAAAGCATGCCATGATGATGACAGATGGATCAATACTGATTCTGATCACTGTGATATTTATGATCAGATTTTCTTTTTGTGTTTTTTAAACCTCCTGCTGACTGACTTTTTTTTGGGTGGAGTAAAGGAAAGAAATGTTAAAGGACTTCAGCAAAGGGGGTTTGGTTTGCTTCTTATTTCAGTCAAACTGTGTGCATCATAAACTGCAGTTTTAGTTGATATGTATTTATCTGCAGTGAGACTTTGCACATTCATTGGGGGGGGGAACCCTCCATTCCTCTCCACTTATGCAGAGCAATCTGTTGCAGCACTACAGGTGTTTGGGAAATGCTGCAGTGCTTGGCATGAAGCGAGATCAGCCAAGGCCTCCTTATTCTCTAACAACTAAAATCATGTTAGAAGACAGTTTTTATTGCATATTACCAGTTTGCATATGCATGAGGGGCTGAATCTTTACATTTAAGGGTCAAATTAATTCACTTTTTTTTCTCTCTCTCTTTTATTTAATTTAAATGTATTATTTTTTTTTTTAAGGTTAAACGTGATTAAAAACTTTTTTCTCAATAAGAATAAGAATATTTTTTTACTCTTTATTTTCTAATTTTTGTTACCTTATTTTATTTATTTATATTTTAACATCCTGAAAGGTCAAAAGTGATTAAAACGTTTTTTTTCTCTCTATTCAAATTTTTCCCCCTTCCCTTATTTTATTTTTTCCTTAATTCTTTTTTTATTTTTAATGTAAACATCCCGAAAGGTCAAACGTGATTAAAAACGTTTTTTCTCTTTTCAATTTTTTCCCTTCTTTTTATTTTCTTTCTTCCCTTAATTTATTTTTTCCTTAATTCTTTTTCTTTTTATTTTTAATGTAAACATCCCGAAAGGTCAAAGTGATTAAATACGTTTATTTAAAATAAAAAAATAAAAAAAAATAAAAAAACAAGTGACCCAAACTTGACTCTGAGCTGCTTTCAGCTGTCATTTGTGCTCTAGGACGCGAGCACAAATATGCAATAATTACTAAAACTCGTATATCTCGAACTAAACCACCTTCGCGCGCTCGATCGGGCTGTGAAGCGTTTAATAGAAGTTCGTGGCAGTCAAAGTTAGGCTTTCTGTGTCTGTACGGAGCGCTCCTGCAGTAGGTGGCTGTACGCGGCGCGCGCTGAACGCTCCTTCACCGTCCTGTCAATAAAACACTCCACGAGCCGAACGAAGCTCATTACGCGCAGATCTGCGTGTTTATTTAATCCACATTCCCCCTCAGTTAGTGATCGCGTGTCTTGATTCGGATTGTTGAAGCCGCGCGCTGGAGGGACACTTGGAGAGACTTGCTCGCGATCGTGCTACCGGACTCCTGCGCGTCTGCTTCACCTTGTGGCACAATGTTGCTCTAAACCACAGTGTCTTTTTCACGCAGAGTGGATTTTTTGGGTCTCGATCGTGCCGTGGGTCCGTGTGTGTGCGCGAGTGTGTGTTTCTGAAGACCAGGCACGCTCCTCCTGATCGGGTGTTTTCTCATTGCGATCTGTTTCCATGTTTTTAGGTTTATGTGATATTTAAAAAAATGCATCATCACCATCATCATCCCCATCATCATCAGAGAATGGCCGCGTTAGGGACGGATAAAGAACTGAGCGATTTGCTGGATTTCAGCGCGGTAAGTCACTTCGCGTTTCTGCGCGCCGGAGGTCAATGATCACACTTTGTTTCGTTTTCTCACATTTCATTGTGTTTCTGCGCGCAAATGATTCAGTAGAAGTCTTTTAAGATGACTTTTGTGCGCCGCGTAAATTGCATTTGAAATCTGAAAGAAAGTTGCAAAAGCTTGTGTGGATTTGATAGATGTGATGTTGCATTAGTAATTCTGTTGTCTTATAGATGCCAAACAGCGATTTGAAAATGTACCCCACACCAATGGTAGTATATCCCACTTTATTCAGTCTTTTCTTGTGTTTTTTAAATTCCCTTTTCTTTAATAGATTCATATAAATGTTGTGTTGAACCTTTAAAAATGCTTCGAATGGAATTTCTGGTCATTATAATTTTGGGTCACTCCTAATGCAATTCTATCCGACTGGAATTCTGAAGAATTCTAGTTTGATCCCATTAGGGTTTCTTCCAAATGATGCTAGGAATTCCATCAGAATGATTTTTGACAAGGAATGTGAGATTAGAGTAGATTCTAGTGGTTCATCTGGCTCAGTGCAAAAAAAAAAGCTAAATGTGCATCCTGTGAGAAATGCTTTTGGGAAGTTTTCACTCAGGAAATGTGTTTTTATGAAGCCACAGATCCAAAAATATTCCAGCTGTCTGTGTGCAGCGACTCTATTCAGACAGACAGAGGGTAAAGTGGCAGTCAGGCTAGTTTATGAGCTCAGGACATTGATTATGTCAAATCTGGCTTCGTTTTGACATTGCAGTCGGATAATATTTGAGTTTAATGTAGGTTATATTATTAATCAAATTAACTTGCATGCATTTATGATGTAAAGCAATGCATTATGCTGTGATTAGCATGCTTTTAACCAGGACGTGTTTTATATTCTTTGATTTAGGGTGGGTTATGAAAGTTTTTAATGTGTTGTCATGATTATTTTGTAGATGTTTTCCCCTCCTGTCAGCAGCGGGAAGAACGGACCGACGTCTCTGGGAAGCGGACATTTCTCTGGCTCAAGTATGTCGAATGCAAACCAACCTTGTGTTTTTGCCCGGGTCGTTTTGTGTAACGGCCCACTGAGTAATTATAAGCTTGGTTTAGATATGCAATGCATGTGTGTGTGAGTGTGGAGATGTTTGTGCAATCACAAGTTTGTGCGTTAAAACACGACCTGCAAACTTCAGGTGTGTGTGTGTGTGTGTGTGTGACATGCACAGTTCACAGACTGTGAGAATTTTGCATTGTGATGCGAGTTTGATTGTTGTGGCAGATGTTTGCGTTCGGCGTTCGGCTTGTTTTCCGCACAAACACACTCATGCATAATTTGTGCAATATGGACGCCGCACCTGCAGGCTTTCCTACGCGGAGATTTGTATTGTTAAAGTGCGCGTTTTATAAAACGTGACATTTTATTACATCGCGGGTTGTAATGTGGTTTGCTTTGGAGCAACACTCGGGTTGCATGCGAGAGCTGATTTTAATTCCTCCTCTGATGAATGTTTCCTGCGGCGACGGCAGCAAATAAATAAATAATTACAGCCACAAAAAAGAAATGACCTTGACCCTGGAGGTGCGTTTAGGAAGTAACCGGCGCCGTGCGTGCTTTTTCCAGCGTGCATTTGTTTTTCAATGCATTGCAGTCGTGATCCGAATGCACAGATGGAGGGCAGAGACAGCGTTCGGTAGTCGCTGCCTTCGTGTTTTCAATGCCTGCTATTGTTTTCTTCAGACTTGAGTGTTGTTTAGGGTTCGATCATTTGCATGCCTCCCCCCTTCCCCCTTCCTTTGCCCCTCGGTTCCTGCGCTTTCACTTAATTGTGTCGCAGTTTTGCGCTGTTGGAAAGTCGGGGAAGAGGATGGAGGGGGGTCTGCAAACTACAGCTTGTCTGTTGCCATGCAACTTGGCTTGGAAATGCTGGGAAAAGTGTGAATCTTTGAGAAAAGAGAGGGGAAAGAGACGGCGTATTAAATAAATAACACAAACGTGTGGGCACGCTGCTAAATTTGCGTATTATTCATCCGTTTTAAGCCTGTATCGGGTTGCATCGTGCCCGTATCTCGTGCCAGTCTCGGAGATTTCGACTAACAGTGGATAGGCCCGGATGGCACGGCGTACGTTTGTTCTGCTAACAGCCGTAGCTTATTAAGCCATGTTGAAAAGTGGGGTTATTTTAATAACACGCTTGTGCACGGGCCGAAAAAAGTGCCGGGTGCAAAGCCTGCTGCTATTTGCATCGCTCTGTTTTGGTTATGCTTGTCAATCAAACTCCGGCGATTGCATTAAGCACAAAGATGAAGAGAGAAGAAGAGTTCTCCTCCCACAATCCAGCACCTCTCAGAGCATCTTTGTCTTTCTCTTAGCGAGCAGAACGACGGCAGAAAAGGAGCCGAGGCGGAGAGATGCAGAGGAATATCAAAACCCTTTAATTGTGCCTGAGATTAGGAATTAATGAGCGTTTTAGCTTGTAATAGCAATATTATTGCCACAATTTGCTATTTAATGCTAATAATGAGCCTGCTTATAATAGTCCGATTTTCAGGCCTCTGACTATTTCTGCTCATCTTTTTGGTTGTGTGAGATAAAAATGTCTTTCTAGCAACCTTTAAAATCACTTTTAACTACTCGTTTCAGGTTAAAATGACACAACTTGCAGTGCAGAAGCGGTCCATATGACTCGTGCGCTATATTTCGAGTCTCCTTGAGTCGTACGACAGCTTTGCATCACATTTAAAACTTTTTTTAAAATGTTTTTGAATTTTTTTAATGAGGAGTGGGTCAGTTCTTCACACACAGCATCATATTTAAACCATTTTATATTTTATTTATCTATATAAAATTAATTGCTATATATAACGCTATATATTTGTAACATATATATTCATATAATGAGACTTAAAAAAGTAAATTAATATTAATATTTAAATAAATAAATATATTTAATTAAAATGTAAATTAATATTAATATTTATTTATTTATTTTAAATTCACATTAATATGAATGTTTAAATACGTAAATTTATTTAAAACATTTTGTAATTATTTTTTACAATGAACATTTTAGTGCTTCAGGATAAAAGTCACCACAGCGTTGTATCGTTTATGAATTATCATGTTTTCTTTGTTTCTTTGTTTCGAGGAAACTTAAAATGCCTCGTGCTGAATTTGAATTCTTCATCGTAGTTTGTGTCTGATAAACAGTAAATGCATTTTGACAGTGTGCCGGCAATCAGTATGAATGAACATGAAAATATGAAGCACTTTTGTCAATTAGGCCACTTGAATTCATCATTTCCTCCAGTCGCTGTAGCATCTATGCTAAGAATGCTTGTGCTTTATTATTAGCCGTCTAAAGACGTCACGCTGAGCTAGCAGAGAAAAGATGCCAGCGTTACGTCAGCGCTGTGGGGAAAATCTCACTTCACTTTCATTGTCTCTCTGATGAGTTTAGTTCACTACAGCAGAAACGCAGCTGTCTTCACTAGACCTTACAGATGTCAATACAGAGACTGAACACGCAAAGTGAACCATCTCTACTTTATATAAGAAGTCAGTTCATCCTTGATCAAGAGTGTCTTCAGTTCCTGCTGCTTTTGTTCACCTGCTCTGCTTTTCTGGCCTCTGACTGTATTTTATACCATCTGTCCCATATTCACCGTTTTTTTTTTTTTAGGGCAAAAATGACACCAAAAATGCCCCAGATATTGAAAAAAAAAAAAAAATTGCCCCCATATAGTGTGTTTGATATTTCATAATGTTCTAGATTATACACTACTGGTCAAAAGTTTAGAATTAACATTTGTAATGTTTTGGAAAGAAGAAAAAAAAGCTCACCAAGGCTCTGTTTATTTGATCAAAAATACAGCAAATACATTAAAAAATGTGAAATAATATTACAATTTCAAATGACTGTTTTCTATGTGAATCTCTGTTAAAATGTAATTTATTTCTGTGATGCGCAGCTGAATTTTCAGCATCATTACTCCAGTCTTCAGTGTCACATGATCTTCAGAAATCATTCTAATATACTGATTTGCTGCGCAATTATTATTCGTGCTCAGTTAATAATAATGGTTCTTATTATTATCAATGTTAAAAATGGCTTAATATACTATAACAGCTTAATATTTTGTGGAAACATTTTTTTTTGTATTCTTTGATGAGTAGAAGGCATTTATTTGAAATAGAAATCTTTTGTAACATTAGAAACACTTTACTGTCTCTTTTGACCAATTTAATGCATATTTGCTGAATAAAAGTATTCATTTAGAATGATTTCTGAAGATCATGTGACACTGAAGACTGGAGTAATGATGCTGAAAATACAGAGAAATAAATTACAGTTTAACAGATATTCACATAGAAAACAGCTGTTTTAAATTGTAATAATATTTCACAATATTATTGTTTTTTTCTGCAATTATTCCATTAAAAAATAC